CTTAGAGCCGTGCCTGGTGCCGCGCATAACCTGAATAAGTGAGGTCACCCCCGACATTAACCTGAGCCACCTGGGATTTAACCTATCTACTTGTCATTAGCGGCTGACCTTTGATCTCTCTCTCTCTCTCTCTCTCTCTCTCTCTCTCTCTCTCTCATCCGGATATCCCAGGTGAGTAAAAATATGCCTTAATACTAATTAATCAATATAATACCTGCATGTAGAAATGGAAGTCAGGGTTAACTAAAGGTAATATAACAAATGTACTTCAATTATCCAACCAGAAGCGAACTCGTAGTAATGGGTTTCAATTAGACAAATTTAGATTTAGGCGCGTGATAGGTAAACACTGACTTGGAAATAGAGTAGTGGACGAGTGGAACAATTTACCAAACATCATCATTAACTCAAACACATTGTATAGCTTCAAATATAGGTTGGACGGATATATGAGCGATAGGGGTTGGGTGTAAATGGGGCTGCCTAGTATGGGCCAAAAGATCTACTACAGTTTCCCCCATTCTTATGTTCTTATGTTTTATGAACCAATACGTTACCTCTGATAATAATGGAATATCTGAAAGGTAATTCTTGCAAGTAAAAAGGACACAAGATTATACATACCCATCATCACACACTTACCCTTAATCATTCACATCAACATTCATACACACGCTCAAACACACACTCATGCATACACACTCGTACACACGCTCATACACACACTCATACACACACTCGTAAACACACTCATACACACGCTCATACACACACTCATATACACACACTCGTACACACACTAGCTCATACACACACATCATACACACACTCATACACACTCACACACACTCATACACACACTCGTACACACACTACTCATACACACACCATACACACACGCTCATACACACACTCATACACACACTCGTAAACACACTCATACACACGCTCAAACACACACACTCATACACACATCATACACACTCATGCTCACTACACACATACACACACTCATACACACACTCGTAAACACACTCATACACACGCTCATACACACACTCATACACACACTCGTAAACACACTCATACACACGCTCATACACACACTCATACACACACGCTCATACACACATTCATACACACACTCGTACACACACTCGTACACACACTCATACACACACTCATACACACACTCATACACACGAAGTCATTAATATCGCTCGTTTTGCCTGGTTGTGTTGGCGGCAGTGATCATGACAGTCCGTCGTGATGGTCACTTTTTATAGTAACGGTGATGGCCTACAGTAACGAGTAACACAACTTGCAATAACGAGTAACACGGCTTGCAATAACGAGTAACACGGCTTGCAATAACGAGTAACACGGCTTGCAATAACGAGTAACTCGGCTTGCAATAACGAGTTACACGACTTTCAACAGCGAATAATATTTGTCTTAATGAGTAACGCGGTTTCCAATAGCAAGTAATATGACTTGCAATAACGAGTAACATGGCTTGTAATAACGAGTAACGCGGATTGCAATAACGAGGTGCATTGCCTACAGTAACGATTAACACGGCTTACAATAACGAGTAACACGACTTGCAATAACGAGGTACAAAACTTGCAATAACGAATAATACTTGTCTTAATGAGTAACACGGTTTCCAATAACGAGTAATATGACTTGCAATGGCCAGACTTCTTGCAATAACACTAAAACTTTTTGGCCAAAAATTACCATTAACTACAACCACACTTCTTACAATCACAACCAAACGCCTAACAGTCATATCCAAACGGATTACAAATCACACCCACACGTCTTACAATCGCAACCACATTTATTCCAATCACAACCAGCACTTTACAATCGCAACTACGCTTCATACAATCGCAATCACACTTAATTTACAATTACAAACAAACATCTTGCAATCACAGCCACACTTGCTTAGCAATTGCAACTAAACGTCTTAAAATCACAACCACATTAACTCCAATCACAATCAAACGTCTTACAATCACAACCAATCGCCACAACAACCACTATTTCTCACACTAACGACCTCGCTCGCAGTAACTACCCCCCTTCTCGCTAACAACAACAGGTGTTAAAACGACCAATTAAAGTCACAATAAGAACCGTAATTAATGACTGTTTCTGGGACTTATAATTAGACAATAGACGTAACGAGCACTCAGGTGATTACTCGGAAGGGCGGCCATTGATTGGCTGGTGTTAGGTGTGAATCTCTTGCTGATTGGCTAGTGTCAGTGTGTTCGTGCTGCTGACTGGCTGGTCTTAGATGTGAGCTATTCGTTGATTGGCTGGGGTCACATGTGAACTCTTCGTTGATTGGCTGGTGTCAGGTGTGAACGCGTTGCTGATTGGCTGGTGTCAGGGAAGAACTCTTCGTTGATTGGCAGGGGTGAAGTGTGAATCTGTTGTTGATTGACTGGTGTCAAGTGTGAACTCTTCGCTGATTGGCTGGTAT